GCTAAATGAAAAAAAAAGAAAGAAAACGTGATGTGAGATGCGTGCTCGACGACGTTCTCCATGCTCCCAGTCCCAATCTCTCTGAATCGGGACCGCGTTGAGAAAGACACGACCGAGTACTGAATCCCAACACCTGGGCCTGACAAATGAACCCGAACAAAGGGCGTTTAGTTCGGATGAATCGTTGAACTAATTGAGCGAGGGGTGCGCTAACACGCGAGATAATAGGACCGAGAGACCCCCTTTAGGCATGGCCACAAACACATAATCAGGGATAGCATCCAAGAGCGGGAGCAGCATCTTCTTCATCTCATGAAGCCCCTTTGACCCCCCGAGATAGGCAACTACCCCCTGGCCAGAAGGTCAAAGAAACAAAGAGATAGAGCGTGCTACTGGGGATTCACGCAACGCAACTGACCAGTGCAAAGAAAATTGCACCATCAATGATCATCCACCTTCCAACCCTCGGGGTATCTCTTCTCTATTTTCGTTTTTTTTTTTTTTTTCTCTTCTATAGAAGAAGACCGTATTTTGTCGTGGGTCATTAGTAGAGCCCTCGTGTCCTCGCGAGCCCACACCCTTTAATTTCGGGGGGGAACAAACGATTTCACGTCGAGCAGGTTCCACGTGGAAGAACTCAGCCCGTGTACGACAAACCCATGTGTCACAACAGGAAGCCCGGAGCTCATAAAGGAAACCCTGCTTTTCCCCTCGTGCATCTGATGGAGGGCGCGAGTTCGTCCCACGTGCCCATGACACGAGACTTGGGTGAAGGGTGAGCTGCACTTGCACCGCACTGGCCAATTGGAGACAGCTGCAGCGAGTGTCTCGTATTTCACTTAGCACCGTAGTTCAGTGCAGCACGCAAGATTTTTCTAAGAAGGATTTTACTTATTTCAAATAGAAAGGAGAGTCTCAGTATTTGGGCAGCTGAATGACCCGCGGGGGAAGGGGGGGGGGGGGGGGGGGTTGCGACCAGGATCACGNGGGGGGGGGGGGGGGGGGGGGGGGGGGGGGGGGGGGGGGGGGGGGGGAGTGGTTGCGACCAGGATCACGAGCGGGGTTCCTAAGCCCCTCACACCGCCCCCCGAACCCCCCCCCTTCCTTCCCGCCGCTGCTTGAGTCGTATACCTATCCGTGATGCGAGGGAAATGATGAGGGGTAACTATCACGTGTCTCAGTGAGTTCAAGGCACTCACGAGAATTTGGCAAGTACGTGATATATTCATCCACAATTCCCGTTCTTCGGCTTTACGTTATCGGGGACCTCTTCTGCGTGGATTGCGGATTACAGCGACCACAAACTCAGTAGAGGCTTAATCTAGATCCCGCCCACATCCTTATCCCTTTTGTTTCCGTCCTTTTCCTTTGCGGAAGAGGAAGCTTGTCTTACAGATGCTCTTTTGCCATGCTTCACAGTAAATGTAATGACGTGATTTCAGGACAGATAATTGTTGTATCCGCACATGTTTGACGTCCCCTGTCTTCACAGTTTCACGGCTGTCACTCAAGTGCGACCATTTTCTCCATATCAGTAACTAATGCAATTATTCTGGAAGATATGGAGGGAAAAAATTATTAGCGTATCCATGACAATGACAACCAGGAAGCAATCAGCAGCAGCTTCTCTGTGCTCATATTCCCGTAGGACTCATCTGCTAAAATTCCCTATTTCCCTGATTCAGACGGTGTATGTACCAGTTCCACGTTGTGGAACGGATGTCATTTTCTGTTAATGACACGCTAATGAAGAAACCTCGACCAAGCCCTCGTAGAATTTCTGGGCGATCGAAGAGAGGGAGTGTTTTATTTGTTGAGATACAAACACGTCTTGCCACTTTGAAGCGGCTGATGTAATTAAAACTCTCGTTTTCCTCCGGAAACGTCAGAAATTCCTTTCCCGCCTTCGAAGACGGAAAGAAACCTCGCTTGTTTGTCAGTCATTGTTTTTCCACTGGCTAAAGTGAGGAGTGGTAAACCCATACCTCGTATAGGTTCTAGGTAATAATCATCTCTGGTTTTTTTTTTACGAGATAGAGAGAGGGAGAGGGCCGACCTTGGCGTAACCCTCGAGAAAACATTCTTCATCGGGTTCTTTGTGGACAAAGGGTTGCGGGGAAAGGGATAATGGGCTCCTATGGGCCGTGGGCATGGTGCCAATTACCTCACCGATAAGCCTAAGCTTATAGCTTCCGATGGCGGCTCGAAGGCATGCCATTCACTTGTTTTCGGCATTCCACGGGCAAACAACCTCATCGAATTACATCCCGTGGAAGAACAAAAGCCGGAGACAGAGAAACAGAGAGACGGAGAGACAGACTCCGAGACTTCTGTCGATCGACCGTGAAGATGGACAGAACCCACCAGGAAGTCGCACATAGTCGCCGCTTGAATTGCTTCATTTCCGTGATAACGGGGATGAGGGTGATGAATCGTTTCGCAGGGGGTTAATGCTGTCTATTATGCCACCACGGGGCGTGGGATTGAAACGAGGGAAAAAGACGGGCAGGCGTTAACGATGAAGTGACGTCTCCGATCCATTGCATCATTGTGGGAAGGAGGAATCGGGAAGATTAGCCCAGCTGCCTCCCAGAGCCATTATTGTATTCGAGTCAACGAATAAGACTTGCAGAACTGCTTCATGGAATCGCTTTAAGAGTTTCCTGATAAATTTTGCATTGCAAAGGCTCTCCAAATACTACCATGAATAATTGCCTGGGAATTTGCTGCATTTATGCATTACTCGTATCGAGGTAGGCAATCGTGCAGAATCGCAATCACTCTCAAGATTGATCACGTTTCTGCATGTTCCTGACAAGTTTCGCTTCCATCTCAGAAATACCGACTAATCGGTAGAGCCCGTGACAGGACTGCATAATATTTCAAGCACGAATGCCGAGCCGAAATGGGTATCCTTAAGTCTGATGCCAACTTCACTTCTTAAACTTGTTGCGCTAGTTTTTCCGCTCACCCCGTAGATGAAGTCGAAGGAACATTGAATTGCGATTCTGACGGTTTTCCAGGGATTCAGATCGTCAATCACGTAGACGTCGCTAGTCCCGGACAGTCTGGCTCAACTGGCTCTGCGGTAATCCTAGGACCTAAGCCGGAAAACAATTGAGCTGTGGGGCTCTGCAATACGCTTACCTCAGAGAACGTCATATCTGAGCGTTCCAGAGACCTGATGCATCCCTTGGGCTCCTACCAGGGAGATAAGTGAGACTCGGTGTTAAGACTACTAAGAATTGCATATCAGAGGAAACGGTTCAGTCGAAATCAAGTATACGTGAGTAGGACGAGATCCGTGTTGCGTCGGCTCATTTCGCTTCATGTGACGTAGCCATTAGCTTATAATGTAGGCTTAACCTATTTTTAAGTAATCCGACCGATTGTATGATGAGATCTCATTAATAAGGTTACATGCACTTGTACTTCTTACGTTCATGATCTCATGAAGCTATGGGCTTTTACCCCATAGCAACTTGGGCCACTTTAATGTTATCGAACGACTCCGTTCTGAGGTCTTCCTCTGTAAAGCATTCGGTAGTAACTTGGGGAATACACGTTTTGTTCCTTGCTCCCACGTACACAAGTCTCGAGGGTGGGCAGGACAGGAGAGAGAGGAGGAAAAGATCGACTGACGACAGTAACAAGAGGCGTGACCAAATATCGCGTCAAGTTATCCTTGGGGAGCTGAGATGACAAGACGAGACGCGGACAGAAAGGATACCACACCCTTCCGATATTCAAAAGATTCGCTTCAAGAGGGCATTCACGCCTTCGGGGTGACGGAACGGAAAATGGGAGATTCGTGCGCTAACGTGCCCTTCGCACCTCCCTCTTAATTGAATCTTCACTTCCACGTGCCTGGGAAGCTTACGGTCACTCTCATTTACGGTCCAGCCATCTCACGTTTCCCCTCATGTGCGCTTCCTAGAAAATCAATAAGCGTGCTTCTTCTTTCACCCGTCAGTGCATGTTATCTGACGAACCCACTTGGGTGAGATTCGGGTCTTTCGTGCACGATGAAAGCTTCCATGAAGATATGAGATCCCCGCCTTGTCGATGAGGAAATCTTGTTCGGATAACAAGCACCCTATCATCGTTTTATTTATGTATTTCCTCGGGATATGCATGCACTATATTACCAAAAGCATTGGGACAAACCTCCCTCTGTCAATAACAGATTGCCCCAGAGATCATGTGGTAGAGGGCATTACGGTAGTCCAAAAGTATATAAAGCAATCTGTTGCAGTCAGTGTTTAACCAGTATGGCGAGTGGATCGGAGCTGACGGAGTTAGAACGTGGAATGATAATTGGTTGTCACGTCGTCCTTTCTCCCCAATATTTTTGGTAATATAGTACATACATTTACTTGGGAAATTTCCAAACCAAAGCCATAGGAAGAGAAAGAATAAAGTATAGGATTGCAGTTTATTCATATTACGCATAAAACAACCATTTTTATTATCTGCAATTGACATGGAGAAACTTCAAATAATTTCTGCTTGTCCGTTTACGTTGAGTCTTGATCGTTAGTTCAGAGTTTCAAATCGTTCGGTTTTTCTCCTTCAGTCTCTGTTCTCCGTAGAACAGTGTTCCCCAAACGGTGTGCCGCGGCACACTGATGTGCCGCCAGTAAGGCTTAAGTGTGCCGTGAGATTTGAGAGTTGAAAAAAAAAAATTTTAACTAAAATTAAAGCACTTAAAAACCAGAGGAAACGCCATCTTTCAGTGGAAAACGAGCTGAGAGTTGCACTATCACGTCTCGTATCAAACTGCTGTGTTCAGCGAAGCAAGCACAAGTTTCTTATTGAAAGTGAGTAAATGGCTGGGCGTGCCGTGGAAAGTTCAAGTGTCCTTATGTGTGCCGCAAATAAAAAAAGATTGGGAACCACTGCCGTAGAGGAACAGACAGGAATATTGTGAGCTTCTGCTGACACCTATACTTCTCCAGTTCAACTGTGAGTATTTATTATTTCCCAGAGGGAACGCTGATAAATGAGACATGGATGCGCCTTCATTCTCAACTAGTCATTACATGGTGAAAAAGTATTTACAATGGTGATCCTTAGCATCTACATCGTATCCAAGTCTGGCGGACTCATCTATCATTATGATCAGAATCCGCCGAAGGTGGAGGTCGAGAAAGTTTATAGCTATCCTCTTCCATTCAAGCTGGAAGTCCAGAATAAGAAAGTGATCGTCACTTTCGGCGAACAGGATGCTGTGAGAGGTCAGGAATTTGTTCAGATTAGTCAAACTGCACCTAGGATCTAATCCCATATGAGCCTGCTTGTCATAGACGTTGACATTTAATGAGCTATTGAAGTTGACTTTAGGCCCTTCGTAGCTTGAAGATCCCTCATAGTCCATGTTTAGATTGTCCATGCTAATCAAGTAAATACGATATATTGATTTAATTGAAGATATTATGAAGTCAAATTGAAATTGTACAAAGGTTCACTCTAAGTTCAGGTGCTGGAGTGTCACCATAGAATATTAGCGCTATATAACAAACTGTATGATGATGTATCTCCCTCTTGACTTGTGTGATGTGGTGTAGTTTACTCATGCAATCTGTGTTCCTAAAATTTTTATTTATTTACATGTTACAGTTACATGAACAGTTACATATTCCATGACATACTTAACTTTCTCACCTTTCTCAATCTGACAAATTTGACTCACTACTTTAAATGAGCTATTGAACGACATGCACAAGTTGAAACTTATAGCTGCAGTATTGGTTCCATGGCACAAACAAAAAGTGAGTGAAAGGCAACTAATTGCAAATGCAAGGTCATGTCCAACTATTACTAGAAAATTTATTTTCTTAATCTTAGGAAATTCCCATTCTTAGTCATAGTTTGGTTGAATTTGGCAGTGGAATAAATGTGTGAGGGTGGGTTAAGCCAGATCAGCTAAAAGGAGATCGTGGCATGAGGGAAGGATTCCTCAGTTATTTCTTGAATTTTTAAACTGCCGAGTGTGCTCTCTTCAGATGACAGAAAGTTGATTCAGTGTACCAACTTCCTCCAAAGCCTGAATTCATCAGAATTATTGTTACATATATTCACTAAATGTACTCCATGGACATTCCCTTTCTGTCTTTGCAAAGTTCTATATGTTCAACCACTCTTGCTAGACTATCATTAGACTTTTTATGTTATTTGGCTTGAGGACCTTGTGATGTAATGGTTCAAAGGCTCATTTAAGTGACTAGTCTTAACTAGGAGATGATCCTGTATCTATCTGAACTGTAGGAGAGGAAATCATTTCCTGTCGTTCTGGACAACTGCGACTGTGACACATGGGGATAAGTACTTGGAGGATATTTCATGAATTCAGTGATAATTCCTGTAAGTCTAGACTTTTGGGATGCTCTGTTCTGTACAGACTTGACCCTTTAAAGTTTTTCTGCTTGCCCCACATGCTACAGAATGCCACCCACTTGAAGCCATTTAAAATTAATTTATGGGGAAGTAGGATGTAATTTTAAGTAATATGGGAAGTGAGAGCTTAGCACTCCTATCTCGAGCCTTATTTTCAGATCCTAATCCTAATGTGTGTGACTGAAGCCCATGTTTTGCCCCATTCAGGGTGGTGAAAAACAAGGACTAGGTTTAAGCTTCTTACTTGCAGCTTGCAGGTACCCACCCACTCTCAGCTTGTGACTTGTAGCTGAGAGTGTGTGGGCACCTAGGGTCAATGGTCTCTATTTGGGATCTGAAAGTACTGGCTAGGTAAGCTGCATTGTGCCTTGCTCTTGTGCTAAGTGTAATGTTCCACTTTCTTTCCAGTTGGTCATGCAGTCCTGGCAATTAATGGAGTAGCCTGCAATGGATTGACGTTGTCTGATGGGAAGGATATCATGGAACTGCTCAATGATCCAACTCAGTATCCCCTGAATGTGAAGTTCGGAAGGCCACCCATCTCTACTAATGACAAGCTATTTCTGGCATCCATGTTTTACCCTCTTTTTGCAATTGCATGCCAACTGAGCCCTGAGCATGGAAGTTCTGGCATTCAAGTCCTTGAAGCAGACACTTTCCGAATGCACTGCTTTCAGACATTGACAGGTCTGATCTCATCATTCTGCTTTTTAGGTGATACTTTTATTTTATTTCTTCTGCAACCTGTGATTGATATTTGCAGGTGTGAAGTTTCTGGTGCTGGCAGACCCAAAACAAACTGGAGTGGAAAATTTATTAAGGAAGATCTATGAGTTGTATGCAGACTATGCCTTGAAGAACCCATTCTACTCTTTGGAGATGCCAATTCGTTGTGAATTGTTTGAAATGAACCTCCAGGCTTCCTTAGAACAAATGGAGAAAGGGGGTCTTCCTGGCACCTAATGAATAGTGATGTGCTAAGAACAAGGTCTATGAATATCATCAACTTGTCTCTTCATGATTCATCTGTGATGTAGGCTTGAAACCTTGAATTTCATGAAGAAGAAAAGAAGAATTTTGATTGGTTGTCATGGCTTATGGGTCATCATTGATTGGTTGTCATGGCTAATGGATCATCATCCTGACCAGGCTATCATCAACAGATATATATGTTGACTCCCCCTCCAATGTGATTTTCATTGTTTGAGTGCATTTATATTATTGCTGGGAGTGACTGCTACTATCAAAATGTAAAAACCCAAATGTGGGATTCTTATATCAATATTTCTTAGTAACTTATGTCCTATGCATTGAAAAGTTGTAATTGATGAATTTCGTTTTAGAACGATATTCATGGATATCTTAAGAGATATTATTTTCAGAAGTTGAAGTAATGAGTGGCATCCTCCAGAAACTTTCTCTCCAAGGAGGTCTTTGGACCATTCTTTTCTTGTTTACTTTGATGAAAATATGAAAATAGGTAATATTAGTAAATTTGTTTGCATGAAAAAAGGTTTCTTCATCATGAGATAGAAGAATCAAAGGATGAAAGCAGAACATCATTTTAACTTGAGAAAATACAAATTTTTATGTATTTTAGTACAGGCCTTTGCCTCAAGAATACTCCAAACAGAAAAATCCAACAGTTTGAGATCTGGTGAATAAGGTGGCTATTTCTCAGCGCTAATAAATCTTGGCAGGTTTGCTCTGCACCAATCTTGAATGGTTTTTGCCTTGTGAGATGATGCAGAGTCCTGCTGGAAAATCCAATCCTCTTGAGCGAAATGCCTGTTGGCTATTCTTGAGAATGTTGTTCATTCATGGGCCTTCAGGCATTTTGAACAACGAGTATCACCGGATCTAACTGTTGAATTTTTCTGTTTGAAGTATTTTTGAGGCAAAGGCCTATTCTAAACTGCCCAAAAATATGGAGTTGCTTAAGAGATCTCTACAGGCTGCCTGGACTGAAATAGATGACAATTTACTCTGAAACATTGTGGATAATTTTCCGAAATGCTTAAAGTCTTGTATCAAAGCAAAAGGAGGATACAGTGAAAACTCGTTAACTCGAACTTTTAGGGACCGGGCAAATCGTTTCGAGTTATCCNAACAGCGTTCACACAAATTCTCCAAGCATGAGTGGGAACATCATTTCCTTACTCTTGCAAGAACGTTTAAAAATTATTGCCAACGTGCTCTTGCAATTAGTGTCAATATGCTCATAGTATTTGAGTAAAGAAAAGGCTCTGACCCAAAAGCCTGACTGGAGGTGCAGCACCAGGAACGTGGGGAATTTTAACCCTTTACCTTTTGCTCACACCATTCTCATACTTTTACAGTTGACCTTAATCAGTAGCTAAGAGTATTTTATGCATTACATAATATTCTTGAAGATGGCCTTAAGATGACCAGTTGCTGTCAAGGTTCCACATGGGTTGGTCACTGCTTCACTCTATCAACGAAGTGACTTCTGTCACTGCTTGATATAGTGACAACCACAGAACTGTTTAATTATTGGTGTTACTTGCTAATACAGGGTGACCAAAAAGAAATGCTACAAATATAAACGATAATTTTCCTTCTACTAATCTCGTTGAAACAAATGTCACACTAACATTTATTAAAACACTAACTTTGTAGAATATCAATAAATTTCAAAGTACAGTGAAAACTCGTTAACTCGAATCCTGATAAGTCGAAATTCCGCTTATCTCGAAGTTCAAAGCTTGGTCCCGGCGGAACCCCGTAGGACACCATGTTAAATGCTCCGTTTAACTCGAATTCGCTTATCAGGATTCGAGTTAACGAGTTTTCACTGTACTTTGAAATTTATTGATATTCTACAAAGTTAGTGTTTTAATAAATGTTAGTGTGACATTTGTTTCAACGAGATTAGTAGAAGGAAAATTATCGTTTATATTTGTAGCATTTCTTTTTGGTCACCCTGTATTAGCAAGTAACACCAATAATTAAACAGTTCTGTGGTTGTCACTATATCAAGCAGTGACAGAAGTCACTTCGTTGATAGAGTGAAGCAGTGACCAACCCATGTGGAACCTTGACAGCAACTGGTCATCTTAAGGCCATCTTCAAGAATATTATGTAATGCATAAAATACTCTTAGCTACTGATTAAGGTCAACTGTAAAAGTATGAGAATGGTGTGAGCAAAAGGTAAAGGGTTAAAATTCCCCACGTTCCTGGTGCTGCACCTCCAGTCAGGCTTTTGGGTCAGAGCCTTTTCTTTACTCAAATACTATGAGCATATTGACACTAATTGCAAGAGCACGTTGGCAATAATTTTTAAACGTTCTTGCAAGAGTAAGGAAATGATGTTCCCACTCATGCTTGGAGAATTTGTGTGAACGCTGTTTCCTCGGTGAAAAAAGGAGGGAGACTCCATTCTCTTTTACTTTCTTCACTGCTAATAGCTTATGATTTGTTAGTCAAAACCTCATTAGAGACAGCTATAAATGGCATAATTTGCATAATAATTTGTCAAGGACTCTACAGTTGCTTTAAAATGCATTTCAAATCACCATGGGAAGTTCAGGAAGAAAGCAAATCTGCCCTTCGAGGCATTTTCAGCTCTCCTGTTTTGTCATCCCCATGGCAGATATGAATGGCGGCAAAGTAATGCTATGGTTGTGAGGGGAGTGATCGAGCCTCGATGTAATCCTGCTGCAGCATTACTACCTTTTAATCCATCCATTAGTTTTAATTCTGCGGATAGTAGACGATACTTTCAGGTCTTCTTCACAGAAGACATCGAGGAGGTCGAGGAACGGCTGGTTAGCGATGTTTTGAAGAATGCCAAAGCTCTTTACCGGTATGCTTGTGGTAGGTGTAAACAGCCGATCAGGCCTCTAATGAACGACAGGGGGGAGTCAATTGCAAGTACTAAAGATATGGCTCGGATACTTAACGAGTTCTCTTCCGTTTTCACTGTGGAATCCGACGAAGCCTCGACTCGAGGAGGTGAACTCGGCGCGCGTTGCGGATATTTCCATCACTGAGGAGACGATCATGAGTATGATAGGGTAGTTAAAGGTGGGTAAAGCGAGTGGCCCCGATGGGATTCCTGCTCGAGCCATGAAGGAACTAGCGAGAGAAATATTGGTTCCACTAAGATTCATATTTGAAAGCAGTTTTCGCACGGTGAAGTACCTAAGGAGTGGAGGCTAGCGAACGTCGTACCGATCTTTAAGAAGGGTGAAAAGAGTAATAAGGGGAATTATTGGTCGGTAAGTCTCCCGAGCATCCTGGGGAATATCATGGAGAGCATCCTAAGGGACCACATCCCAAGCAGCATAATCACGTCAATATTTTATAAATTTGCTGTAAATTTTTTGTCCATTTTATATCTCTTTTACGCAAACCTTCATCAATATATTGCCAATCTGTTTGCAGAAATTTCATCTGTGATACGCAAACGGTGATGTAAGATTGACGAGAATTTTACATGAAATTGACATTCCCGTTTGCATCCCAAGCAGCATGTTTATATCAACATTATGTAAAATTTATGGTAATTTTGTCAAAACTCATGTTAATTTTTATATTAAGATAACCAGCTTTTAAGAAAAATCTGGGATATTCGGAAGAGAACGCAAGTACTCTTCCTTTAAAGTACCCAAGAGTACCTGCTACTCCACTCTTTCGCACCCAGTTCGAATCCCTTGAGAGCACGAGCAGAGCTTGAAGCTCTGCATAGAAGATAAAGGTGTGAAGATTGAGAAGCCTTGCATTTCATCCTTTCTTATTTCCATACACTCCTTTATTCCCATTCTTCAACATTTAATAATTCCCTGAGTCATATACTGTGATAATAATATCATGTTTTTGTTTTCGCTTTTTCCCTTCTCATTGTATTTTATTCTATTAGAATGTTAGACCCCACTTAGTTGTGTACGTTTTTCGAAGCTATATTCATATTCCAGAAGAAAATCCTTTGATTCCTCGTATGTTTGCTTTTCGCTTATGGGAATAAAAAGGGGGGCAGAATGTGCGAACGGATCCGGCAAGCATTAGTCACTAGGCTAGCTGAGGCTGACTACAGATTACGGAGTGAAAGGGAGAAATTCCGCGTTCGAGTCACGGAGCGCATCCGTTGGGCTCAGTGTGTAGCCGTTCGACTCAAGATTCAGCACGTACAATTGTGGCATGTCCCATTTCGAGGGACTATGCACATCCACTTTCCGCCACTGAAGATTTATTCTTACCATAACTTGACCCTTGAAAACAGGTAGTTTCAGAGAGGGGCGAAACAAAATGGTCGCCCCCCGGCGCTGGCCATTATGGGCTGAGAGAATCGCTGGATTTGGTAATTGGACGGGAAAATAGTTCGTTTTGTTGTTTTACCCTGCACATCACAGCCACTAACACGCGCATGTCAGTGAAATGTGTCCTAAAAAAAAAACACCACCAAAGCATGAGGATATCGAAGTGCTTTAAAAGGATTTCTTATTAGAGGACGTGTGAAGGAGGATTTAAACGTGATGTACAGGGGCCACTGCCATGTACATGACACCAGTAGACTGACCATAGAGCGTATATACCTGTACAGTGCTTATCGAATGAATTCACCCCGCTCTCACTATGGGCTCCTATGGCTCGCCATGCTTTCTTATGGAGGATGAGCAGATCGCGTAACTACCTAGTACTTACTTGTCGCTGCAGATGTCGTTCACGTCGCTGTCTCCTGCATCCCCTGCCGTTTCGAGCGCTATGAGTAGGGGAGGCATATGTCATCCTTTCTCAGTCTTCCGTCAGACTCTCACGAAGTCATGTCGCGAAACTCAACTTATTTACGCATCGATGACAATTTGAGAGAGAGAATAGTCAGAAAACACATTCAGGAAAGGAAAACCTACCGGATCATCTCAAAGGAGCTGGATTTGAACTGTAATTTAGTCATGTCGATTTGTCAGAAGTATAAGAAAACTGGAGTTTGGAAGAAGGAGAAAAACAGGGGGCATCGGAAGCAGAAGCTTTCGAATGAGCAACAGCTGGCACTAGTGGAAGCTGTCTATCATCAAAATGATTTGCTCCTGAGGGTAGGCTTTTAGACCTTTCCACTTTTTACACCTGCAGTTGTCTTTATTTCTGGGATGAGAGAAAGCTAGTGTTATGAAATTGATAAATCTCTGGTGAAAATTTGACTGCTCCAATAAATTCCATTCATCGTTTCCTGAACAGGACTTGCAGGA